CCCTAAAATTCGAAAACCCTAAAATTGGAGAACCCTAGATTTCGAAAACCATAAAGACAAATTTATCAGAGGTGAATAACATATTCTCCTGAGCAATTATAGGATAAATGGAAAGAATTAGTGTGAATTTAGAGCAAGAATCTTGGGGGTGTTTAGAAATGGTGAAGGAGGAAGATTAACTAGGTAAAGTAACCATGGTTTAGATTTTTTAGGTCGTTTAAATAGTTAATCCACTAGGTTAGCACCCATGCTGATGCACGGGTTTCACGGTAATTTATCTTTGGATTTTTGTAAATTTTGTTTTCATATTTTTTTGAGTTCAAAATGTTCATAAGTTCAATTTAATTGACCTTAACTATGCTAACAACTTAAATAAAGACTCCAACAACCTAATATCAATGGTACCTTTTTTAAATTAATTATCTAAATAATAGTTGTTACCTATTAAAAATTAATTAGCATTTTGTTTTTTTTTTTTAAAGGATTTGAGTGGGAAATATTTTCATGAAATAACGCTACGTGTACAACTTTGAAAAAAGATGGCATCAGCGATTGCTACTTTAGTATTAGTTATAGAAGGTTAAACGTGGTTTAAGAGGTAAAAGTGACGTCATGGATGGTTTTAAGTTGAGTCTGGTAGTAAAATCAAATTTTTAAATTTTTTTGTGGTAGTAGCTCACAAGTTTTTTAATTCACAATAGTAATTTTCAAAATGACATTGTTACGCGATAGTAATTGGCAAATTTTCTTATTATTTTTTACAATTATTCCTAAAACTAGGAGTTCCTATGTGCGGGCTAGCGTTTCAAGAAGAGTTATTGCAATTAGTCCTTATGTCTTGTGTCGGTTTGCGTACTATTTTATTATAAACTAGGGTGTTTTGCGTGCGCTTCGCGCGCGTTACTAATTGGAATTTTAGGGTGTAATTGTTGTCTTGAGTGCGGCAATGTGGGTTTTTTTTCCTCAAATACGTAATGAGTTTAAAAAGAAATTTTATATCCGGGTGCTAGTTACATATGTGTCTAAAGTAGTATTGAGCATGGTTATTGTTTTAAAAAAATTGATAATAATGTTTTTGGTAAGGGGAAAAAATGAAGTTTTCTATTGATTTTCCCAATTATCATGCCCCTCTCCTAAGCTAATTGCCCTATTATCTAAAGTGATTCCTTAAGTGCTCTCTTGATTTTCTTATGTGATTTCTTTTCTTAAGTGATATTTATTTTTGAGTGATCTTTCTTCTTTATTGAAAATTCTTTAGTGATATCTCTCTTGATGTCGTTTTAGCATTTAGTAACTCTTTTTCCTAAGCTAATTTCTTTTTTAAGTGGTCTTTGTTAAGTTGTCTCTATTTTTTCATGTTAAGTGATCTTTCTTAAGTGGTATATCTCAATGATCTTTTTGTTAAGTGGCTTCTTTCTCTTTTTCTCTCTTTAGATTATTCCCTTGATTTTCTTAATCTTTTGTGTGGTCTCTTTTTCTCTCGCATTTTATTAAGCCTTTTTTCTAAGATAATTACATTTTCATAAGCTAATTGTCCTAACTTTCTTAGGTCATGGGTCTTTCCTTAAGTTGTCTCTCTCACTCATGGTTTCTTTCTCTCCCTCTCCTAAACTAATTACCCTAAGTTTCTCTCTAAACTAATTGTCCTGAGTTTCTCCTAAACTAATTGCCCTGATTTTCTTAAGTTATCATTCTTTTTTTAGTGATGTTTCTTCTTGGGTGATCTTTCTTTATCTTGAGTGATTTTTCTTCTTAAAGTGATATTTCTTAAGTGGTTTCTCTTTCTTGTTAGCATTTAAGCTTTTTTCTAAGCTAATCTTACTTATTTTCACAAGTGATTTTTTAAAAGTGGTCCTCCTCTTTTTGTCAAGGGATTTTTCTTAATTGGTTTATCTCAAATAATATTTCTTAAATGTTCTCTCACTTTCTTTATGTTTCTCTTTCTCACTCTCTCATGTGTTATTTTGTAATTGATCTCTCTCTTTCTCTCTCTCATTGATCTTTCTTCAGAATTTAACTTGAGAAAATGTGATTAGCTTAATTGGTCCAATGAACCTTTTCCTAAGCTAATAACTCTTATTTTCTTAAGTGAACTTTCTCTCTCTAATAATAGTAATCACGGAATCCCTTGCCATAGATGGATATTTAACTCAAAGTTCTACAACAATAACTTCCAAATAAAACATTTAATAAAGAACACAAAATAAATTGATAGGTAGAAGCAAGATAAATTGATGGATCATTTACTTACTTTGACATCATCACCTGCAATACTGAAAATTAATATTTGTGACCCTAAGAAAGAAATGAGTTAACATTATCAGTTTATAATCCTACATATTACATCTCATAATCATCAATTGTAATCTAAATTGATATTAAAAAATGTAACAAGAACAAACCTGCACACAACTCACACATCTCAACATTTGTGTGTTATCTTTCCAAAAATAATTCAGACTATGCTGGCCAAATTGCCAAAGACAATCAAATTAAAAAGAAACACCAAAGCACACACTTTGCTAATAGTTTTAGACTGCTTCATGAGATCGAACAGCTTGCTAACCAAGACACTAAATATTAAAATCGAGTGAACATGTGGTTGCTAAAATTTTCGGTGGTCTGATGATGGTCAGAATCTCCTTTGCTACAGCGTATTAGGTAGTGCACTGTCCAATATGGATCAATCACCTGCACCCAAAATCAAACCCCACAATAAATTTCCGAAAATTAGTACATTCCTAAGAAATTTGTCAAAGTAATTAGGGCTCAAAGCTTGAATGTTCTCATTGATCTCCCATCATATATGTAGAGTACATAGTTTCCTAAGATAACATCACAAGATATTCTAAGAATTATCTTGAGTTAATTAAGGCTATAATTAAGGAAACTAACTTAGATGATAATAATGAATAATATTCTCCTAATCTTTCCTAACACCCCCCTCAAGTTGGAGCGGGTGGAGTGAAGACGCCCAACTTGGGAAGGAGATGTTCAAATTGCGATTTGCCCAATGCTTTGGTGAAGATATCGGCCAATTGAACATGAGTAGGAACATAGGAGGGATCAATGATTCCATCTATGATAACATCTCGAACAAAGTGACAATCAACTTCAATATGCTTTGTTCGTTCGTGAAACACCGGGTTTTTAGCAATATGTAATGCAGACTGACTATCGCAGAACAATTTAATAGCTTTGGGATGATGTACACCTAAGCTCGAAAGGAGACCCTTCAACCACTTTAATTCACAAGTGAAGGCATACATGGAACGACACTCTGCATCTGCCGAACTAGTAGCCACAGTTGGTTGCTTTTTGGTCTTCCAAGAAATAGGTGAGAGGCCTAGAAACACCAGCCATCCTGTCAAAGATCTGCGTGTCAAGGGGCATGCAGCCCAATCTGAATCACACCAACCCTGCAGAGTTAGGTCACTGTCAGAACGTAACAAAATCCCTTGACCCGGAGTACTTTTTAGATACCTAAAAACTCGCAGAGCTGCTTCCCAGTGTTCTTTCCTTGGTTCCTGCATGAACTGAGATAAAATATGAACCGAATCGGCTAAATCCGGCCTAGTGACTGCAAGGTAGATCAACCTGCCAACAAGTCTGCGATAAGATTCAGGATCAGAAAGTACAGGACCACTTGCTAGACCAAGTTTGTGGTTTTGTACCATAGGAAAATCGGCGGGCTTGGAACCTAATAATCCTGCTTCTTAAATAATGTCAAGAGTATATTTTCTCTGACACAAAAACAAACCAGAAGAACTACGGGCAACCTCTATACCCAAAAATTATTTCAGAGTGCCAAGATCCTTCATATGAAAACAGTCACTGAGATATGCCTTGAATGCCCTTAGAGCAGCGGAATTATTCCCAGAGATAATTAGATCATCAACATACACAAACACATAAATTTGTGTGTGACAATTAGTGTAAGTAAACAAAGAATAATCTGAGTATGACTGGAAGAAACCATATGCCTTCAAAGCAGAAGTAAGTTTTGCAAACCAGCATCGAGGAGCCTGAATTTCATTTTGCATTGATTTTCTCCAACCTGCGTCCTTCATAGCCTCCTTAAAAGACCTTGGCTCTTTGCCAGAAGTAATAGCTGCAATAAAATTTCGGTAATATGGAGAAAAACTCACAATTAATATAATGCGCTATAGGATAAGGAGTACCTGAGGGATGCGTTGGAGATGGAGTGTTAGGAGATGAAGATGATGGACTATTAGTGAGGACCGTGTGAGTCACATAATCCCGGTGTCGAACATTGGGAAACTTCTCACGCATACCCCGACCCAATTTCTCTTCTTGAGCTGCTGTTTGGGGTTGATTTAAAGGGGTGGCGCTGCTTGAGGTGTGCACTGAAGATGTTGGAGAAGTGGCAGGAGGCTGCCGCGGTTGAGCAGGGGCAGCAAGCTCACGTGGCTGCTGATCCGTGAGCTGCTGTGTGGGAGGAACAGCAAGCTCCGCAGCCTCCCTGCGGTGAGCACTTGTATGCCGCGGGGGGCTTGCGGAGGAGTCTGCTTCCTTTGGTGTATGTGGGGAAAGCACTACTAATTCTTCCCCATTAAATAATGTAGCATTATTTTCAACTTGCACCTCATTACCCAAGTTACAATTAGCTTGATTTTCCAAAGGGACATCAATAAAATCGAAATCTACAGGAATATTCATGGGCACAATTTTTTCAGGTACGATATTGGATGAGGTCGGATCAAGAAATGGAAAAACATCCTCGAAAAATTTAACATCTTGCGACACAAAAAAATCTTTCGATTCAAGATCAAATAAATTCCAACCTTTCTTCCCAAAGGGATAACCCACAAACACACACTTACGACTCCAACTAGCAAATTTGTCTCCCTTAGTTTTCTGATTATGGGCAAAACAAAGACACCCAAAGGTACGAATAGTAGTGTAAGATGGAGGAGAGCCAAATAAAATTTCGTTGGGGGTTTTATTTTGCAAAAGAGGAGAGGGAGTACGATTAATTAAATGGGCAGCAGCTAAAACACTCTCCCCCCAAAAATAAATCGGAAAATTAGCCTGAAAACGCAAAGCCCTCCCTACATTGAGAATGTGTTTATGTTTCCTCTCTACCCTACCATTTTGTTGCGGGGTTCCGACACATGAGGTTTGAAATAATATGTCAGTTGCATTGAAAAACTCACGCAAACAATTAAATTCTGTGCCATTATCACTTTGAACAATTTTAATTATTTGAGAGAATTGTCTATCAACCATTGCCACAAAAGACATAAACATACGAAACACCTCAGTTTTATCAATAAGCAAATATATCCAAACAGCACATGAAAAATCATCCACTATTGTCAAGAAATAACGAGCACCACAAGACGATGCATGCCTATAAGAACCCCACAAATCACAATGTATCTTTTCAAAAATTCTAGTAGTTTTATTCTCACTAATGGGAAAACTATCTCTAGGGTGTTTAGAACGAAAACAAACTTCACATGCTTTATTTAAACGACCCTTACAATTTTGAACGGGAGAGAGAAGCTTAATAACTTTTTTCGAAGGATGACCTAAACGCTTGTGCCACAGTTCTAGCAATTCAGACGACTCAGAAGTAGCCACATGTTGCACGGAAGCCCTTCTTTCGAAGTAAAATAGTCCATCTCGCCTAACACTCGTTCCAATCAGCTCCTTCGACTGGTCCTGTATAGCACACATATTTGAGTGAAATTGGACAGTATAATTTGTATCATCAATTAACTGAGATACCGAAATTAAATTGCAACGTAAATCAGGAACAAATAGCACATGAGTAAGAATGATTTTTGATGATAATCGAACCGAGCCTTCCTTTGTGGCATAAACAGTTTTGCCATTCGGAAGACCACCGGGCAATTAGAGATGGGTTGAGTATCAAAAAGCCACTTGTCACAACAAGTAACATGTCTAGAAGCACCGGTATCCACTATCCACAATGCATTATCAAACTCACCATTCAATCGGTCATCGGGGACCTTTGTGTTACCAATAAACCCGGCAATTGCCTTCCATTGATCCGCGGTGAACATTTGCGAAGAAGTGGCAGCAATATCCGCATTGTTTGGCTGAGATGTAGACCCGGCAACAGTTGCATTTGCTCGAGCCTGCCCACGACCCTTGGTCCCTGCCTTCCCTCGCTTCGAAGGGTTTGGCCACCACTCCGGAAAGCCCTTCAATTCAAAGCAGCTCGAGACTAGATGTCCTGTTTTCTTGCAGTGAGAACAGAGCATAGCAGCCCTGTCAGATTTGTTCTCGGAAGCACCTGGTTTCGGCTTCCCTTGATTTGTTCGGAGAGCGAACCCCACCACATCAGGTGGCTGCACGTCTGGAACTTGAGTAGAGGTACGAATGCGTTCGTCTTGCGTGATCAATTGATATGCCCTGTCTAGAGTAGGCAACGGGTCTTGGGATAGAATGTTGGTGCGAGTTGAAGCATAAAAATCGGTGTACAACCCCATCAGAAATTCGTGAAGACGAGCAGTATCCCGATGCTTCTCATGCTCGATGCCTGCTGTACACTTATCACAACAAGAGCAAGTGATAAGAGGTTCATGGTTGTTCAATTCTTCCCACAACGCTGTCAATTTACCAAAATACGAAGCCACGGTCATAGCCTTCGATTGCTCACATCGTGCAATTGAGGACTTCAATTGTTGAATCCTTGGACCATTAACAACCGCAAAACGCATCTTTAGAGTGTCCCATAGTCGTTTCGCATCCTTGTACTTCGAAAGAGTGCTCTTCACTTCGGGGTCTATTGTGTTCATAAGCCATGAAATTAACATGGCATGGATTGTGTTCCAATCCGTTTGAGTACACGGAGAGGAAGGTGTGGTGATGGTTCCATCAAGAAAGACAAATTTCCGACGTGCCTCCAACGCAGTTTGTATATCCCCTGCCCATTCATCGTAATTTTCGCCACGAAGTCGGGTCGGAGTAATGAAGAGAAATATCTACCGGAGCAGGCGCTATTCGAGAACAATTAGCCGAAATGAAGTCATCAGGTCTGTCATGGGGACCGAGATAGTACGGGGAAGTAATGTCTATACGCGGTGGTGGAGGCGGTGGTGTATCATCACCAGGCATGGTCGGTGTTTATGGCTCTCTGTTTTTTTTTTTTTTTTTTTTTTTTTTTTTGATGATTAAGTTACCTCGGCGACTGATACCATGTCAAAGTAATTAGGGCTCAAAGCTTGAATGTTCTCATTGATCTCCCATCATATATGTAGAGTACATAGTTTCCTAAGATAGCATCACAAGATATTCTAAGAATTATCTTGAGTTAATTAAGGCTATAATTAAGGAAACTAACTTAGATGATAATAATGAATAATATTCTCCTAATCTTTCCTAACAAAATTTCAATAATCTAATAATTTTTCACACCCTAAAACATCTTAAACTCACAAATTACTTAATACAAATATACCCCAGAAAGTAAATTTAACAATTCTACCAGTAAATATATCATCTCACGTTCTGATAATTACGATTACTAACAAAATTTCTCAGCCGAAAAGGAATTATTTGTTTTTTCGCCCAAAATTTCGCTATCTCCTCAAATTTCTCCAGATTTGTAAAACCCCAAATAAGAAATATGGGTGAATTATAAATGATAAAGTTTTTCTTCTCACGCGCCGTCGCCGCACTCAATACAAGAATTTTGTGTAACCTTGATCTGTTTTCGAAGCTCATCAACCTAAAAAACAAGAAGATAAAAAGGAAAAAAAAAAAAAAATCAAAAACCAAGGATCTGAGAAAAACCCTAGAAAATAGAGAACGAAATTAGGGATTGAAATGGGGTAAAATTACAAACAAATTGAAATAATTACTCATTAAATATACACCTTGTGACGGATCGTATGAAAGAGAGAGAGAGATGAGCATGGTGAGATACTTCCAGAATTAAAGATCACTCGCCGCCATTAGGAAGAAGATTGAGGTCGACATCATCGGAAGAGTTGATGAGAAATCCGACAGAATTGGGAGAAGAATTCCTTCTCTAAGCAATTATGGGCGACTGTGGTTGTGTTCTTCATGAGTGTCGTTGGTGAGATAAGGAAGAAGGACGAGATTGAGAAGAGGAGAGAGAACATAGAAGTTTGTCTGTGTGATGAAGGATGAGAGAGGAAAGAGATGTGTACATAGAGGTGAATGGGAATTTTGTCTTTTTCATTGCAAAATAATTGGAGGGCAAAATAGGAAGACCGCTGTAGATAAGGAAACCAAAGGCAAAATACAGGAGTGAAATCGTCCGGCCACTGTTCATAAGGATTCCAACCTTTGAGCAATTCTAATTTGTGTTCCCTCGCTTTTATAGGGTAGGGATACTTGTATATACATGTGATTAATGTGTCGAATGTTGTGTATCTTTTCAATGTTCTAAACGGGGATGCCCCACTTTCTCATAGTGAATAAATCAACAACTTTTTAACTATAGTGGACTCCACAATTGAATAAAGTTGAATAAAGTTGTTGGTTTATTTATGAAAATGCTATGTGAGAAACAAATTTTGTTTCTCAATATGAGAAAGAGGGAATTTCTCTTTCTAAACTTTAGCAACCTACTTTAGTATAATTAGACCCTATTCACCTCACCTTACAAAAATAACATTCAGTAAAAATAATTTCAATTCAGTAAAATTAATTTTAGTTCAGTAAAAATAAGTTTAGTTCTGCACGCAAAAATAATTTTAGTACAGTAAAAATAATTTCATTTCAATAAAAATCAGTAAACTTAAAGAAGAAATATAATACCATTTTAGTTAAAATAATTTCAGTTCAGCAAAAATAAATTCAGTTCAGTAAAATTAATTTCAGTTTAATAAAAATAACTTCATTTCAGCTAAAATAATTTCATTTCAGTAAAAATAATTTCAATTCAGCAAAAATAAGGTGAAGTGAACGAGGCCTTAGTAAGGGAATTGTGAAAAAAAAATTGTGTTCTAGAAATACAAATGTTTGATATATTTAAAGTACGAGTACATAATAAGATGAATCAATTAAACGTAAAATGATTAATATCACACGTCTATATTTTACTTGTATTTTGTATTATTAGAATTAATTTAAAGTCTTTATTATACTAAATACAAACTCTTATACGTGACTTGTCACATCGTGTGACTAGCTGGGGTTACTTTGTTAGTGTTGTAGGAGTTAATTCGTCAGTGTTTTAAGGATTACTCGATTTTGGTTGGTGTTATAGGGTTACTTGATAGCGTGATATGGCTTAAGTACACTCTTCAACACTATTATTGGGGTTTTTTCCTCAACATTTCCTTTTTTAACTTCTTATACATACCCCTATGTTTATTTTCTTTATATTTTTGAACAGATTATCGAGGTTACTTCATTGTATTTTTTACAACGATATTATTGCAAGTTATATATTTTTTTATTTTTACTATATATATATATATATATATATATATATATATATATATATATATATATGATAGATTGATAACACAATATGTGCACGATTAAAGTAGTATAACATCCATTCTGCATACCAAAAGCTTTTAGCAGTTAACATCTTTATTGCAGCTTAATTATTACCTTTATCATCTTTATTTTACTCAATAATTTGCACTTATCTCTTCGTCTAATGCAAAATTTAGAACACTAAATACTGTCATATGATCTTGTAATGCTTTGCCGCTTTGTAGTATCAATTTCTTAAGCACATTTTTTTTTAATTTATTTATTTTTTTTAAAAAAAAAAAAAAAAAGTAGTTATTGAGTGTAAAAATGTGTAACTAAATAGTTTGAAGGATAAAATTGAAAACATACAATTCATAAGAGTAATTGAGGATAAATGTGTAACTAAACATTTTGAAGGGTAGAATTGAAAGCACACTATTCATAAGGGTAAAGAAGATATATATTAATAATAGATACAATTAATAATAAATACTTGTATAAAATTCTTGTATAAATACTTATATATGTATTAATACTAATAAATATGTATTTTTATAATGTATATATACTCTAAAAATGTATGAGGTATTTAAACCATTCAAACCACACCACCAACTCCTTCATTGTAACTTCAAACCATGCTTTAATAATGGCAACAACCTGATCTCTTCCTCTTACCTTCCATTTTCATTATTTTTTTTTTGCTCTCTCTCCCCCCTTAACAATGCAAGGCCTAAACCTCTTAAGAAACAAAGCTCAAACTCTCGAAACCCTAAACTCTGATTGAGTTGCAGTTACAATGAAAATATTCAACGTTTTTTACAAGAATAGATTTCCCTCCCTCTCTTTGACGATGATGGTGGGAATTCGACAGAGGGGTTGTGGTGAGTGATAACAAAATTGTAGGTGAAGCTGAAAATAGAAGTGGAGACTAGAGAGTGGGGAGGTAAATTGTGGTGGTATTTCTAAATTATGGTGACAGACTGACAGTGTGAAGATGGTTGATAACATGGATGTAGTAAAGAACAACACGCATTGATTGAGGTGAAAAGGCAAGAGGGATGGTAAATGAGGGTATGATATTTTCTTTTACGTTGAAATTAAACGATAAGGATAAATAAGGAAAAGTATAGTGTAAAATTTGCCAAAGAAGGAAAAATGTCAAGTAAAAAGAATTTTTTCAAAAAGGAACACGGATAAACTAATACTAGATTAACTGACAAAGGAAGTATGGAATTTGAAATTCTATTAGGTAGTGTTTGAATATAATCATTTTAATTTGAAATGCTTCATTTCAAATCTGACATTTAAATACAGAAATTGAATTCCAAATTCTTTGTTTGGAAAAATTTAAGAATTTTAAATCAAACATTTCAAAGCTAGTATTTTGTTTGAAAAAAATGAACTTCCAATATTGAAATTAATTTTCAGGATTTCAACTTTCTCACTCATTTATCCATTTATTTCCTCATAAACTCTTAAAATTTCACCTACACATCTTGTCTAACTTTTAGATAACATCTTGTAATCAGAAGATCAAGAATAATTACGTTAGTCAAGCTGCATGCGGAGGATGGCAATAATGGTGGAAATAGCGATCGAAGTTATATAAAGTTGTGGTGTTGGTGGTTGTGCAGTAGAAGTTGTAGGGAAGGTGCAACGAGAGTTATACAGTGACATAGAAGAAGAGCCAATTGTAATTTAGACAGCGGGAGAAATCAGGAACGACAGTATTACCAGCGAGCGGCGTAACGATGGCTGAAGAAATAGAAATTAGAGATTTGAGGAGAGAGAAAATGGTAAGTGTTAAGGAGTGAGAAGTGCTAGAGGGAAGAAGTATAGAATCATAAAGATTAGAATTCGAAATGAAATCTTACCATATGTAAAATTTGAAATTCTTGAATCTACACAGTAATTAAGAGTGTTAAGGATTTGGATGAAATCCAATTCCAAATTCTTCCATTTGTCAAACACTCCATTGTAGGAGTTTATAGGTACTATAAAGCGGAAAAATCATGAATCATATTCATAAAGCACCTAATCCCGAGATCGCATGCATAACACACAAGACACATAATCATACCTTTGAAGCGTGAATTCCACAAAGCTATTTGACAGGAAAATCAGGGAGAGAATAGAGCCCCAAGCGTTGCTCCTCTACTTGGTCCACGGGATTCTAATGAGCCGTCCACCAATAGATTGGTAAAGTGAAGGGAAGAACCACGATCACCACCTTTAACGAACAATCGACCACCACCACGAACCACCACCGGCGCCGAGGAGGAGGATAGAGCCGTGAGAGTTTGAGAGAGTTGGCTTCGTGTTTGCTAATTCGAGTTTGTTTAAACTGATCACTGAATACTATTGTAAAAACCCTAGACACTTGTCTATTTATAATTCCATTATAATTAGACTAAGTCACGAAGCCCAAAAACCCTTCTAAACCTCCCTATGGCTAACCACCTAGAGTGACTTGGCCCGTGATGGGCCTCGTCCTCTAATGCTCAATATAGGCCCTTTGTGTGATCGCATAGGATCCGTCCATTGGGCTTTGACCTATTATACTAGCCCAAAGATCGTTAGTACGTCTAGTTATGACATAACGACGACCCAAATGTACGAACTTAATTATCTCCATAATTTGATCCACTTATATATTTAGTAATTGCACACGACAAAGACATAATTCCTTTATCCAATTCCTCAAATTCCAATATTTGAAATGAAATCTTATATCCAAACACATCATTTTAATTACTAAAGCGAATCCGTGTAAATGTACGAGATATTATGTAGAAGTTTTTCATAAAGTTATTGGTATTGATAGTTATTTGTTTATTTTTGTAATGATTTAGTATTAGATTCAAATATCAGACATTTGATTATTTTTAATTTACTAATTGATTTTAAATGGTAAGAACAACCGCAATAAACTCAAGGATATAATCTTTTATCAAATTCAAAATTTATACCAAGTCTTATTTTGATTTATTGAAATGAGCTGAACTGAATGGAGCTGAACTAAACTGAACTAAGTTGAATATTTTGTGAAAGAAGGAAATTAAAAAGTAAATTGAATTGAAAAATAAGCGAAAGAGAACATGCCTTAATTAAATAATTAATTTTTTTTTTTTTTTTTTTTTTACAAAAGGAAGAGGAAAATCCAATTTTTGTACTATTAAAAAAAGAGCTGCCCCCAGTAATATGCCATATTAACAAACTTTGTTAATATGGCTCTCTCTCATCTCCTCCCCTCCAAAAGCAATTTGTTCTCTCTCCTCCCCTCCCAAAGCACTTCAGACTCACTCCTTTACTCAGCCATAGTTGCAGGACCACCCTTGAAGTTATAATCTGGCCGGTCATGTAAATTGGGGCCATACTAACCCTTTAGGGGAAGGAATTTGCTCGTGCGGCGGTGTTAATGGTCGTGGCGGTGGCGCTAATGGTCGAAATGGTGGTTTCAATGGTGTTGTGGTGGTCGCGCAATAGTGTTAACGGTAATACAGTGGTCGCGAGATGGTGTTAACGGAAGTACGGTAGTCGTGCGGTGATGTTGGTGGTCGTGCAGTGGGTGGTGCGTATGGTTGTGAGGTGGTGACAGGTGGGTTGAAGGTGTAGGTAGAGGAGAGAGAAAGGGGGTAAAGCTAAGAAAATACAAAAATACCCTCATATTAACATTTTTTGTTAATATGGCATATTAATAGGTATTTTCTCTTAAATGTTATAAAATGTGTTAATGGATGGTCATTATAGCTTATAACTATCCCTTTTATGACTATCTTA